TAAAAAAACATATATATATATATATATATAACTTTAAGATTATCCCTACTTCAAACTTTGGAGAGGAAGGAGATGAAAACCCTAAAGTCGATGAAAACTCGATTCAACCGGTGTAGACGTAGCTCTCGTCGCCCTCTTTGATTTGGTGTAAAAAGCCCTCTCAAATTCTTGAAGATTAGAGCTAAATCTTAGAGAAAAGTTTGGATTTGGGTGTCTTTGTAAAGAAAAGGGAGAGAGAAGATGAGTACAAAGAGAGAGAGAAGCGAAAAAGTGGGTGAGACATGTTTTTGGCATCTGTTTTGAGGAAAAGAGCACGAAATTCGAAATAGACGCACCGAAATCCGCACGAGTGGTTTGAATTCCGCACAAGCGGAATACTAATCCGCACAACTAGATTCTGATGCCTTTACAGGTGGATTGCTCCAGAGAAGCCCATAAATTTTCACCAAAATCTGCTTGAGCGGGACCCAAAATCCGCTCGAGCTATTCCTGCCTAGAAAACTCAAAAAACCCCTGTGTGATTCTGCTTGAGTGGTCACCAAATCCGCACGAGTGATTTTGCCCAAAAAATATAGAGTTTGATTTTGCAATCCAAAACAAGTTTTAACGCCTAAAACTCAAAATTTCTAACCCAGAAAAGTTACGAGTGGTTAAGTAAGAGTAGAAAAGAAATCTCAACGACCTAGTACGATAAACAAAACACTGAAAGTAATGCACACTATCATACTCCTCAATACTAGTCAAGTCAAGACCCAGGACATCACAGATTCCGCCGACTTAAAGGCGTGGAGTGTATTTGAGGGCACATGACTCTTCTATTTTGTTGTTATTTTGATAAGCCGAGGGCTTTACATATATGGGTTTCGATAACCATTTTATGTAACCAGACATAAGCCTTAGAACTTATAACCCGTGAGAGCATTAAATTGTATTAAACTCGTATTGCCACATGCTATAGATTTATATTCTAAGAAATGTTGAATGTATAATTGTATATGGAATACTTTTTTTAATCTCTATAGTATAATGAATACAAATTTTAGAGATTTGATGATGTTGTAAATGATGAGACATTATATTTCTTATACATATATGCAATGGAAGTTATTAAGTTTGGAACAAGATCATTTTGATGGAGTAAATTTGAGTTTTTCTTATGTTAATAATTGGGGGCCTTACAATTTTTTCATCAAATTTAAATTTGATGAAATATTTAGTGCGTCATTAGAGATGGTTTAAGATAAAGGGGGCCAATCATTATTTTTGTCTACAATTAACTAATTAGAGTTGTGAGAGGGTAATTTATACTTATAAATTGGGCCGAGCTGGGTAATGGGCCGTTATGGGCCACATTGCGAAGGGCTGAGTAAAAAGGCCATGAAATTACTCCGGCCCAAGAGAGGTATAAAGTTACTCCGATCCGCAGGAGGTGTAAAGTTACTCCGGTCCGCAAGAGACCTGAAGTTACTCCGGTCCCAAAGAGCTTACGGTAAGTTCGGTCGTCACTCTCAAAGTTATCCCGGTTTGAACCGGAGTATTGGTTATTCCGGTCTAGACATACCGTGGTTAGCATTAAGAAGAGCCAAGGTAAGAGCAGTGAATGGAAGAGCCGAACTAATGTTATCTCGGTCTAGTCTGCAGCTTAGCATAGCTATGCTTACCTCGGTCGTGTTGAAGTCTGATCATGGTAGAACCATCTCACTTGGTTTATGCAGTGAGGGGGGGTGTTGAAGGATAAAACATTATCTTTCAGGAATATAAATCCTAGGAGGACTCTACATGGAGGAATAAAAGTCCTACTAGGATTGTGCCACGCGGAACCTATAAAAGCTTACAACATCACTTATGGAGAGGTAACACAACTTTGATTCCTGAATATACATAGCTTTTGTCTACTTGTCTATTTTGCTGACTTAGGCATTGGAGGGGTTTCTGGCACACACCCGCCGGCTAGCTCACGTTTGTGTTTTCAGGGAGTAAAGCGACGACGTTTGGAGGAACGCGAACTTGATCAATAGGATTATACGAAAAAGTTTATTTCTTTCCCGTACAAGTTGTATCGTCTTCCCATAATGGACTTTCTTCCATGATTGTTTCTTATGGTGATTGTTGAATTTTTAGCTATATATTGTAAGGTTATAATCGTCTAATTTAATATAATTATTCTTATTTTTATAATTAATTTTCTATCAATTGAAAAAAAAAATATCAAAGCAAGTTTTGATAAAATCTCATCACCTCCTTTGGAGCCAATTACTTTAAGACCTCTAAAAATGCTGATTAAACAATTTAGCATAAAAATTCTAGAGAATAATTTTAGAAAGTCAAATTTTGTCAAGACTTTCATAGTATACTTTTTTATTTTAATTGTTTGGTTTTTTAATACGAAATGAATCATTTTTTCTTCAATATTTTATGATTGCATTGCCACTTTCTTTATTTTTTTTTATTTGAATGGAATTCTTAGACTTTAAAAGTCAATATGATAAAGAAAGATAATCACCTTATTATTAATTTAAAAAAAAAAAAACGTGTTAGAGAGGCCTTTTAAATTACGAATGACAAAGTTTTTTTAAAAAGAATAATATTACATAAATTAATAAATTTTACAAATATTTTTTATGTGCCATTTATCATATTATTGAGTTAGATTCTGTTTTAGTTTTAAAAATTTTATCATTAATGTTTCAATTTTTAAGATTTTATTACCCCCTACGTCAATTAATAAAAATAATATTAAATTTTATTAGTTTATATAACATTTCTTTTCTAAAAACAACCTAAAAAGTTAGGCTCAATTGAATGTATCTCAATTTAATTTTTTGTGACACAAAAACTAATAACTGAACTATGCACAACTCTTTCATATAAATGGGAAACCTACTTCAAATGTAATATAAAAAATAAAAATAAAAATAAATTAAAATTTTTTTTAAAAAATTAATATAAAACCTATGGATACATTAAAGGGATTTTTATTGATAAATCCATTCTAGAGTTGTTATAACCCATTAGGTCCACAAAAGAATATTATAACCTGATTAGTCCCATAAACTTTTGTTTTTATTCCATAAGGTCCATTTTCCTAATTTAATATATTTTCCTGGACTATTTTGCCCCCATATATATATATATATATATATATGTGTGTGTGTGTGTGTGTATAGTGTTAATACCTATTTACATATTACGTGCCTGTTTACGTGGTTGTTTCCTCGCTGATTCAGTTTGGCAGTTTCTATTTTACGTTTTTCTTCATTAATCCAATTCCAAGAGATACGTTTATGTTTTGCATACTCGTTCCAAGGATTGGTGGTGCTAGGGTTTCATTGTTGGTGTTGTAGTCTGGTTCTGTGGTTTGCGAGTGAAGATGACGAAGAGGTAGGTGTTCGGCTATCACATTTTCCGAGCTTTAAGTAGTTCGAATCAGTTGTGTTCGACTTTCTGGAGGATTGTAGGATTGCATGGTTAAGGTTAGTATCAATTTGATTATGAATACATGTTCAGTTCATTTGTATGATGGAGCAGATGCTCTGTTTTTGGATTGATATGAATTGGATGCGCTGGTTTTTCAATTATATGCTTCTTACATGGTCCTATGGAGGGGAGTACATTCATATTATGTGAAGAACAGTGTTAGTTCTCATTTTAGTTGGACGTATGCGTAATGAGGATCTGTGTAGATGATTTGATTATCAGTATATATGGCAATGTGAATGTTGACATTTTGTTAATGTGGATTATGTGAAGAATGTGGATGTTCTCATTTTAAATTGATGTTTACTTAATGAGGCTCTGTGTGTGTCATATAATTCAGAGTGTATGTGTCAATGTAAATGTTCACATCTTGTGAATATGATGTGAAGATTGTTGATTTTCTCATTTTACTTTGATGTTTGCTTAATGTTGATATGTTGTTAACAACAATGTGAATGTTCACATCTTCGTATTCTGAAGTATGGATTTAGCACTTGAACTGTACACGTACTCATCTATTTTTTGCACAAAGTGAATTTTCATATTGGTTTTTATTACTGTTCGTTGTTGTGTTTTTGTGTTTTTATAGGAGATGGATACCTTTATGCTGTTGGTGTGTACATATGGTTGCAGTTCAACTGTAATAAATGTTGCCCGCGCAATGTGTTATTCTCATTTGGTGGAGTGTTTGTGTGAGAAATGGGATGAGTTGTCTGCTGGTTCTATTTCACTGTTCTGTAAACTACCTGGGATTAGGAAATGTGATTTGGACAATGAGGAAGAATTTCAGAACATGTTACTGCTTGCTAAATCAATGGGGGTACAACATGTAGAAGTTGTGGTTGAGTTGAAAAGTGGTATTGGTCAGTCAACTAGTTTGGGATTGGTGCGTGTGAGGGTTGAGGAAGAAATTGATGCATTACGAAGATTTTGCCACCATAACGAGAAGGTGTTGTTGTCAGCCCCTTGGGCAAATGGTATTACGCATGTGGGACAACGGTTTGTTGGAAGTGCACAAGAATTTCGTGACGTTTTATGTAAGTACGCCATCCAATGTGGGTTTCAGTTTACATACGTGAAGAACGAGACAACAAGAGTTACTGCTGTGTGTGCGATGCGGGAGGAGAGGGGCTGCTTGTGGGCTATACATTGTAGAGCACAACGAGCAAATGATTTTTTCTACATCAAGAGTTTAAGTGATGTGCATACTTGTGGTACGGATGTCCGAACATCGAAGAATCCGCGAGTTAGTTTTTACTGGACTATTTTGCCCCCATATATATATATATGTGTGTGTGTACAGTGTTATACCTATTTACATATTACGTGCCTGTTTACGTGGTTGTTTCCTCGCTGATTCAGTTTGGCAGTTTCTATTTTACGTTTTTCTTCATTTGAAGAGGGATTATGGGCTAGATATGAGTTACCATGTCGTATGGTTGGCTGTGGAGAAAGCAAAGGCTGGTATTCATGGAGATCACTCATCATCGTTTGACCAGCTGCGGTGGTATTCAGATGCTGTGATGCGGTACAATCCGGGGAGTTATGTCAATATTGACTATGATGCGAGTAGTCAACAGTTTCGTCGTTTCTTTGTGTCATTCGCTGCGTGTATTTCTGGGTTCAATTCTTGTCGGCCTTTATTATTCTTGGATGGAACATTCTTCAAAGGAAAGTACAAAGGTCAGCTACTGGCGGCAACGGCGAAAGACGGAAACAATGGTTAGTATTTTTTTTACCTTTATATTCATGTCAATATTCACATTGACATGCATAGTATGGACAAATGAGTGATGGAGAAATTATAAGTACTGTGAACATTGACATTAGTATGCACTGATGTTAATGTTCACATCTGTGTCTGCTGATGCCTGTAATGTGAACATTCACATTATTATACACTGATCCATTCACATTATTATACATTGTGCCTGCTAATGACAGTTATGTGAACATTCACATTCACATCAGTGTATACTACTGTCAGTTGATCTGTTAATGAACAGTACTGTGAATGTTCACATTATCAATTGCTGAACAATCAAAAATGAATTATTAATGGTCGTTAATGTGAATGTTCACATCATTGCTGTTTATGAACTTGAATCCAGAAATAACAATAGTAATAGGGCAATGTATATATAAACATTCACATGACCTGTTTCGTTTATATTGTTTTCTATTCATTTTGGAATACTGTGAACAGTTGTGTATTGGTGTTGTGTTGTAGGTCTGTTTCCTGTTGCATTTGCGATTGTTGATTCGGAGACCACGGCGAATTGGTCGTGGTTCTTGCATGAACTTGGGAAGGTTGTTGATGGTAACCGCCAGATTACTTTTATTTCGGATCGTAATCTTGGCCTGTTAGAAGCTATGCCGAAGGTGTTCCCATCGGCTCATCACGGTTATTGCTTACAACACTTGAAGAGCAATTTAAGAGACCGGATGAAAGGAATTGATAATGGCTTCAGGGATCACCTAGTAAGTAGTTTGGGTGATTGTGCTTATGAGCCAACTGTGGTAGGGTTCCATGAAAAGCTTGCAAAATTAAAAGAGGAGGGTAAACAACGAGCACATGATTTTTTCAAGGACTTGGCACCTGAGCACTGGGCAAATTCATACTTCAGGTAATAATAGTTTCATAAAGTGTTCCATTTGTCAAGTCAGAATGGTAGCGATGTGAATTATCAGTTAGGAATTTTGAAAATCTTCCAACTGTGTTTCATGTTCAATGTCAATGATGTGAATGTTCACATCTGATAGTAATGACTGATTTGAATGATGTGAATGTTCACATCCGTTGTCATATTTTGCTGTTGTTAACATTCACATCATTCTGTCATTTAAGTTGATGTTAGTGTTCACATCTGTGCATCGTGTAAGTTGATGTTAATATTCACTACGAATGATGTTAATGTTCACATCAGTCAACGTGAATGTTCAGACCTGTTAAATTTCGTGTTGTAAAATGTTTGTGATATTGTGCAGGGGCATGCGTTATGGGGAGATGACTTCCAATGCGGCGGAGTCATTTAATAACTGGATTAAAGAAGCACGTAATCTTCCTATCACTCAAATGGTGGACACAATTCGTACTCAGTTGATGCGGCAAATGTTTGCACGGCGTGACCAAACAAACAAATGGAATGAGCTTATTTGTCCTACATTCGAAACAAGGCTTATGGATTCGTTCAACGACAGCAGGTCTTGGCAAGTTAGCAAAGCCAATGAGAATGTGTTTGAAGTTCATTCGATACCATCGCCAATGTTGACAGTTGGCTTAGATGAAAAACACTGGAGGACATTTCAATGTTATTATTTGAAAACATGGGTACTTTCCATCAATAACATGACACAGCCGGTGACTTTTGCTGGATTTTTGTCATTTTGGGAAATAGATGATGTCAACATTGTCCTAATTTGCTTCGCCCAATCATATTGTTGCATGCTTTCCAGTGGGACCATATGTGCGTAGTAGCCCCATCCTATTGTCTCTCCGCTTGTTGAGAAAAAAAGCTTCTGGCAAGCATACATGCACACTAGTCGGGCAACTTCTTCGTTGTCATCTTTCTTTTTTCCTTTCAATGCCTCGGTCAAAAGGGTTTGTATCCATTTTGAAGTCAACCGGCTTACGTTTTTGCATCTTCTGTTTACAATGCCAGTCTTTGGTTTCGCACCATATGATATGTCCATCGGCTTGCTGCCACAGTCCACACCGAAAATCAGCTTGATGTCGCTGTTGTGTATTTTCATCTTCTTCTGCCCAATGTAGAAGGCATCTTCTGAAGCTTGGTACATTTGTAGTACATGCACAACAACATCATCATACTTCATGCATTTATCCAGGTCGATTTGATTGTTTCTCAATGCGTCAAACAAATTCCAAAAAGGGGTTTGTCGAAGGCGCTTGGACCTTTTGTTTGTCATGTTTGGACATCTTGGCCCAGACTTTGAACTTCTTGGTGAAGGATAATTTTTTTGGCTGCTTCGCTGGTGGGTGTTCCTCCTCATCTTCAACCATTTCTACTGGAGGGGGCTGCTTTTGGCCAGGTAAATCTGGGTATTGGAAGTCAGGCAGTCGATGTTCTTTGCGATCTTTTTCCTTTATACGCTTGACCCTAGAAGGTGGGCTGATATTGTGTTGCATTGGGCTAGGGGGTTGCCTTTCTGACATAGCTTGTGTGACAATGTGGACTGACTGGTCATCGTAAAGATCCTGAAGAATTGTTTTATCGCATTCTAAGTCGATGACCAGCTGCGTTAAGCGTTTGATTTCTTGATCCTTCTGCTCCATGGACTTCTTCATTTCGATATTCACGTTGGGCGGGCTGGACTGGTTAAACAATTTATGTTCAAGAGCAGCTATGACTCTTGCCCTCAGTAATTATGTCATGTAGACCAAGTGTACACTCCTGCACAAAGTATGTGTACTTAACAACAGTCAGGTTCAAACATTTGCAGAAATTTTTCTCACAACAACATAGCAGTATGCATATCGTACGTGACTGTAAACATTCACATTAGCGGTACAATTGTGGACATTCACATATGTAAAACATAACAACACCAAAAGTAGTTCAAAATTCGCAGCTGCCTTTTTCCTATTAACAGATGTTGTATCACTATTTTACAATCAGTTGTTGTGTCAAAATATCAACGCATTCCATATTAACATTCAAATCGACTATTGGTTAGTTTGTAGGTGGACACGCCCCACCTATAGGTTTTAAGGAAGCTCTGATCTCTTATGATTCAAAAAACTATGCACTAACAAATCTCGTAGTCCACACCATTCTGCACTACTGAGGCTGTCCACAATTTCTTCATGATATATGTGCGCCCGCATGCTGTTACATACTGCAGGTTCGCAGTCCACTCTGTAAATGCGAAATGGTTTTGATTAACAGTTGACATGAATATTTGCATAATGGTTATGGAGGATTTGAAAAAAATGTAGTGAGGCTTACGAGTCGTTGCCTTGCTGAGGACAGACATCAACACTTTTGGTTGGTTGTGCTGGATTTTGGCCTGCTAACTTAGTGTATAGCGGTGATGACTCGCCAATAACGCTCACAACATGCTCAATGTACTTCCTCTGTGTATGGAATTTCAAATTAGGCACCAACAAACATATGTGTGTGTACAGTCATTTAATGCACGAGAACAAGTCATGTTTGTGTTGAAAAATAGCCACTTACAATTTCCTGTGCTTGGTCGATATGCGGGTCATGTATGCTTGTTCTTGGGCGCAACGAGTTGTAATGCTTCCACAAATTGTCTTTAGCATCATACACAACTATCGTCCAGTGATACTCATGATGCAATGGGAATAGTAGGTATCTCTCTCCTTGGTAGTTTTTGACATGTGCATCAATGTGTTTACTCTTTTTGCGAGGATGGTACTCTCGTATCACTTTCTGTACACATTTGACAAATAATTAATGGACTGTGAAGTTTCACAGTCACATTACAGGTAATGGAATGATAGATTTTACCAAACACATGCTCGTGAAGATCAATGAGGCTTCATCCGAAGTTGGGTTGACCACCTCTTGTTGTTCATGCAACAGTTCAGCATATGCATCTATGAGCTGCACAAACATGGGTTCATATTATATAGATTTTGTGGATGTGAGTGTGTGTGTGTCTGTGTGTGCATATGCATGAAGAGTGAATTATATTTGTAATGGCATACATTGCTGTGTATTGATTCCTCCTTGATAAGGTTGACAATGTCATCAAAATACACATGTGTAGCCTTCGAATCTCCTTTCCACACCAGCAGCCTGTGCATTATTAACAAACCAATGTAAATATTTACATTGCACATATCTGAACAAACTAAAAAAATTGAACACAGTGAGGAATATAGACTATTACGGAATGTGAATGTTAACATTAGATATTTGCACAGTCACTTACTCATCGCCTCCATTTTTTTGTAAAGCTTGGACCTTTTGTTTGTTATGTTTGGACGTCTTGGCCCACACTTTGAACTTGTTGGTAAAGGATAATTTTTTTTGGCTGCTTCGCTGGTGGGTGTTTCTCCACATCTTCAACCATTTCGACTGGATGGGGCTGCTTTTGGCCAGGTAAGTCTGGGTATTGGAAGTCAGGCAGGCGATGTTCTTTGCGATCGTTTTCCTTTATACGCTTGACCCTAGAAGGTGGGCTGATATTGTGTTGCATTGGGCTAGGGGGTTGCCTTTCTAACATAGCCTGTGTGACAATGTAGACTGACTGGTCATCGTAAAGATCCTGAAGAATTATTTTATCGCATTCTAAGTCGATAACCAGCTGCGTTAAGCGTTTGATATCTTTATCCTTCTGCTCCATGCACTTCTTCATTTCGATATTCACGTTGGGCAGGCTGGACTGGTTAAACAATTTATTCTCAAGATCAACTATGACTCTTGCCCTCAACTCCCATGAAAATTGAAGGTGTTTGTACTTTGCTTCCCATTGCCTTATGACGCCCCAAGCCTTCCGATTTTCTTGGATAAGCACATCAATGATATCAGGTTGGTTTGTGTTTGGTATTACAATAGCTCTGTCATAATGTTGGCTGCTAAATGGAATGTGAATGTCCTCATTACTGTCCTTCAGGTCCACCCCATCCCCAGAAAAGTGGGAGTTGCTGCCACTGTGTTGTTCTCCCTTGATGTCAGAAAGGTTGGGAGATGTTCTGGCTGGTTCATAAATTTCAGGCTCCAACTTCAATGTTTTACGCTTGAACTTTTGTAATTCTGTTCGGATTGCAAAGAGTTCACTGGTATTAACCTGAAAATGAAAAAAATATGTTACTTAACGCATATATTTGGGTGGTGTTATAATGTGAATGTTTTGATCAGTAGTTGAAGGCCCTACCTCATTAAAACCCAAATCAGCTAAAGAGGTGGTTTTCATCTTCTTCTGCAAAGCAGTCAGATCCCACTTCACACAGCGAGGAAAAGCATTGGGTCTGTGAGGTTGTAGGACGGTTGTGTGCTCACACAACCAGTACTTCAATAAAACAAGAAACGCATATTGTTATTTAGCATTTGCAGAGTAATGGCAACCTATGTGAATATTAATCACAGTGGCATTGTTGTGAACATCCCAGTAGTACATTATCATTAAATGTGAACATTCACATCTGAGAATCGTGAGTGATGTGGCACTGTTGTGAACATTCACAGTAGTATGTTATGAGTGAATGTGATCAGTCACATTAGTGCTTCAGATGTGAACATTCACAGTAGTGAAAACATAATTGCCTACGGAGCAGTGTCGTAAACATTCACAGTAGTACATTGTCATTGAATGTGAACATTCACACTGTTCACATTTGAATCACTGATGTGAATGATGACAGAAACATAAGTGCTGTGGCACTGTTGTGAACATGCACAGTAGTATGTTATGAGTGAATGTGATCAGTCACATCAATGCTTCAGATGTGAACATTCACAGTAGTGAAAACATAATTGCCTATGGAGCAGTGTCGTAAACATTCACAGTAGTATATTATGAGTGAATGTGGACATTCGCATCAGTGATTCAGATGTGAACATTCACATCTGTGAAATATAATTGCCTACGGACATTCACATCAGTGGTGCAGAAGTCAATGTTCACAGTTGGTTTAGATGAACAACACTGGAGGACATATGAATGTTATTATTTGAAAACATGGGAACTTACCATCAATAACATGACACAGCCGGTGACTTTTGCTGGATTTTTGTCATTTTGGGAAATAGACGATGTCAACATTGTCCTAATTTGCTTGGCCCAATCATATTCTTGCATGCTTTCCAGTGGGACCATATGTGCGTAGTAGTCCCATCCTATTGTCTCTCCGCTTATTGAGAAACAAAGCTTCTGGCAAGCATACATGCACACTAGTAGGGCAACTTCTTCGTTGTCATCTTTCTTTTTTCCTTTCAATGCCTCGGTCAAAAGGGTGCGTATCCATTTTGAAGTCAACCGGCTGACCTTTTTGCATCTTCTGTTTACAATGCCAGTCTTTGGTTTTGTACCGTATGATATGTCCATCGGCTTGCTGCCACAGTCCACACCAAAAATTAGCTTGATGTCGCTGTTGTGTATTTTCATCTTCTTCTGCCCAATGTAGAAGGCATCTTCTGAAGCTTGGTACATTTGTAGTACATGCACAACAACATCATCATACTTCATGCATTTATCAAGGTCGATCTGATTGTTTCTCAATGCATCAAACAAATTCCAAAAAGGTGTTTGTTGAAGGCACCGAAGCTGTGCTTCTGTGAACTTGGTGGTTTTCATTA